GCAAATAATGAAAAGGTGTTTATAAAATGCGTGGCGGTAATGAGAAAGACCTTCCGCCATCTGCAGAGAAGGGCAGACGGAGAACAGTGTTGATAAGTGTTGGACGGATCACAGCCGAAGGGGAGGGGAAAGGGTGCCGCCTGCAGGCAATGAGCAAGCCAAGAGAGAGGGGGGCCCCTACAAGGACTAGTTTACGTGTTCTTCTTTCAAAGTGGTGGTGAGTGCGAATCCTGTGAAAAGTTTAGGAGCAAGCCATGAATGATGTCAACAATTGGGTGGAATTCGTTTAGGTGCATGTGTGTATATATGGCCACAGAGCAAGAATTACATCTTCTTTCTGGAATAGATGTGGGATTTGCTGCCAGAGGATATACTGAGGGATGCAGGCACAGACAGCTCCACAGAGGAGAGGTCTATCAGTGGTTACTAGCCATGGTGACTAAAGGAAACCTCCACAGTTGGAGGAAGTAAACCTCTGAATAGGCCAGGAGGCAAGATAGGGGGGAGGCCTTGGCCTCTGTGTCCCATTGTTGGCCTTCACCTTTATGCCTTGCTGTTGGCCCTCCACAGTGGTTGGCCACTGTTTGAGACAGGATCCTGGACTAGATGGACCACTGGTCCAATCCAGCAGGGTTCTTCTTATGTGGGCCGCTGATTTAAACAGCCATTGACTGACCTTTTGGATCTTGGAAACTGGGAAGGTGTCTTCAACAGAGATCTCAGTGACTTCCACAAACTACAATTCCCCAGATTCTTTAAGAGAAGCCATCCCAGTGAAATAGAACCAGGTATCCTGGAACATACCCTCATTCGAAGGGCTCAGATGAGCCTGATCTCATCAGATCTCGGTGGCTAGGTAGGGTCAGCCCTGGTTAGTTCTTGGATGGGAGGTGACCAAGAAAACCCAGGGTTACTACACAGAGTCAGGGTATAGCAAACTACCTCTGTCGGTCTCTTGCCTTGAAAGCCCTACAGGGTCGCCTGGCCATAAATTGTAATAATATGATTGTTTTATCTTATTTTTATATGTTTAATGTATCTCGGCACATAGTGCCGATAAAGGTAAGCCGCCCTGAGCCCGTTTGCGGGGAAGGCGGGATAGAAATCTAATTAATTAAATAAATAAATTGGCTGTGACTTGACAGCAATTTTCACCACCACCACCATTCTGGAAAGTAATTACAGCTACTCTTAGAGAAATACTGAGTGTTCCATTTGAACTAGATTTTTTTTTCTTTTCAGCATTGTACAGGATGATATACCTCTACTGCCCGCCCCCCAGGAATTAAGCATTGTACAAGCGGGTAGAGTGGTTTACCCTACATATTGGAAGTCGTTGGCTTCTCCAGCCATACTTAAGGAATGGGAAATATTTACTTTAGTGAAGTTAATAGCATATAGGAAATCTTTAAGGAGCGCTCAAGAAGTTGAATGAAATCTGGTCACCATTGATCTCTTACTTTTAAAATGAATTTTCTGTATCAAATTCTAATACTTTTTGGGCAAATCTTGTTTAGAGCTGAAGAGTATGACTGTCAGGAAGAAAATGCTTTGAATTATTTGTTTGCTCTGTACTTTTATAAGCTCCTGTGACCTTCAAGTCTTTTTTGTTTGCAATCTTTGCGTATAATAAAATTATATATAATCAATACCTTTGCAGAGTAGGTATGTTCTAAAACCTTTTAACTGTCTTTTTAAAATGTGTACTAAATTTGTTGTCTAGTGGATGGATTCCTGCCACTCTTTCAGTACATTCAAAATGGTGATTTTAGGTCATGCAGACAAATACAGACGGAACAGGAGAAAAGACCAAGAGTCCAGTAGCACCTAAAGACTAACATAATTTGTGGCAGGGCATGAGCTTTCATAAGTCACTGCTCACTTCTTCAGCGATGGGCTCCTTCCTCACAGGTTACATCTAGGATTGGCCTCCCCCTACTTCTCCTTCCCCTTTCCTTCTTATCAGATGTTTATATTGGCCCCATATGAGTTCACACCATCTTTTAGTTGCATAGTAGTGTATTTTGGCTCCATTCACACGGAGAAGTTGCCACACTGAAGACACGGATGATAGGCGGATTTTCCAGGCTCGATCACACCGCAACATCTGGGAAGCGTAGTGCACCCGTGGCTAACCTGTGGCTTGTTGCCGAAAATGCAGAGTAAAAAACCACCACATACGATATACTAGTTTCTGGAAAACGCAGGGCAAGGGCGGGCGTCTGATCGCGTTTCTGCTGGAAACCCGTGGCATCCGGCGCCCGCCCATGTCCCCTTGCAAACTGGATTTTTTAAAAGTCCCCACAGGATGCGCACAATCATGCACATGTGCAAACTTCAGTGAGACGAACAAAAAATCCTGTTTGCCACAGAAGCGGCGCGGCGCGATTGCCGGTGTGAATGGGCCGTGCTGCTTCTTTGCCACGCTGCAGGCTAGCCATCTGATCAGCACCTAACGCCTAACCACGGGACCTTGTCAGGACGTCTGATCGGGCTGCCGCGCGTTACTTTGTTCTGGGGCAAACAGCCCCGCTCCCCCCCCCCCGCATTTTCCAGCCCATGTGACCGGGGCCTTTATTGATTTTGCTGTATTTATTGTACTTAATTGTTAGTATATTTATTGCAATTACTAGAATGTTTTAAATTGTATGTCTTATAAATTGTTGTTACCCGCTCTGAGCCAGTTTTGGGGACAGCAGAACTTATAAATCTAATAAAATAAAATAATCTAATTTTATTAGATTTTAAGGTGCTACTAGACTCTTGCTCTTTTCTACTGATACAAACTAACACGGCTACTCATCTTGATCTATCTAGATCAGGGGTGTCAAACATGTGGCCCGGGGGCTGGATCAGGCCCCCAGAGGGCTTCTATCAGGCCCGCAGTCTTCCGCTTCTTCTTCCAGTTCTACTGCTGCTGCTGCATCATCGTAGGTTTGCAGCTTATTCATACACACCTGAACAGCATACCCAAGATTGCAACAGCACAGACATTTTGATGCAGTAATTCAGAGCAAGAGGTGTCAGTTATCAGACACTGTTAAATAAACAAAATATTGCAAGAGTGCTAATGTTTTAGGCATATTTTAAGTAAAAAAAACCTTTGTGTTTGTGTCCATTATAAAGTTTATATCTCTGCTACCTGGCATTACATTTTATGACACACGTGGCCTGGCCCAACAAGGTCTCATTTATGTCAGATCCGGCCCTCATAAATTCGACACCCCTGATCTAGACGAAACAGCGATTAAACTGGGTTTATTAATCCAGAATAAAGTGCGCACTTTTGTGAGGGTGTGGTTAGGTTCTCCTGTAGCATCAGGAACCCCGAAGGCCAGGGGTCATTTCCTGCAGGAGCGCACAGGAGTGGAGCTCCGGCAGTAAAGAGCCCAGGGGGCGGGCACATGCAACAAGCCCCACCCCCTGCTCCCAGCAGCCCTGAGTCAGAGCAAGAAGCAGCCAGGTAAGTTGCAGAGCCCCTCCCCGGCTCAAAACAGTCCAGTGGCACCTTTAAGACCATGTTTTATTCAGGCACAAGCTCTCCCTCCTCTGCGAGGACAGATCTGCAAGTTCTCTCCCCCCCCCCAATAGCTAGCAATCCAAAACTGTCTAGTGGAGCCTGAGCGGTGGGTGTTGCCTTCTGACACACGTCCGGTTATGTCAGGGGGTTTGGCATATGCAAATAAGTTATGCTAATGAGCTCCTGCAGCTCTTTTTGTATGAATGACCCCTGCCAAAGGCCCTTTTATGGCACAGTTGAGAAAACGGTCTCTTGCTCCTGCCTAAAGGGAGCAGAAGCCAGTGTTGGAGCCAGCATGCCTGACGGACTAGGAACTGGGATATCCACGTTCGAATCCCCACTCTGCCACGGCAGTTTGCTGGGTGACTTTGGACCAGTCACACACTTTCAGCCTAACCTACCTCACAAGGTTGTTGTGAAGATAAAATGGAAAGAATGATGTATGTAATTTTTGCTTTGGATTCTTATTGGGGTATAAATGAAGTAAACAAACAAATAAAATACCTTCTGTCAGTCCAGGGGGTGCAATAGGGTGAAAATGTTTTGCAGAATCCCTTCTAGATGCTACATTTAGAAAGGGAACTGAGACAGAAGATGCAGCCTGTATGGTGTGTGTTCATTACTCTACATTTGCACTGTACAAGACTTATGGTGGCCCCTCATGGGGTTTTCAAGGTAGAAGAGGAACAGAGGTGGTTTGCTATTGCTTTTATCCGCAGAGCAACCCCCACCATTCTTGGTGGTCTTCCATCCAAGGCCAACTCTGTTTGACGAGATTAGGCTAGTCAGGGCTATTCAGGCTGAGTAAATATACACTGAAGAATTAACACAGAGTAACAGGAATCGCTGCGTACTTCAACGAGCTGTGCTTTATTTTTGTTTCATTCAACGTCAGTCAATTAATCACACAGCGATACTAGCTTCTTGGAGGGGGTTCGACATCAATTGCGCAGCTACACCTACTTTGTATTATTTAACGTTAACTGGCCAGCCATGTCTATTTTTTGCATTACTTAGCCGTAACCAGTTGCACGTCCACGCCCTCCTTTTGCATTGTTTTGCACGTCCACGGCCCCTTTTCGCACTGTCTAACTTTCAGTCGTTCCCTCTACCAGAACGCCCGACACGACGGAAAGGACCATCGCAACTGTAATTAAAGGCGCCGATGCGCAGTACGACCCACGGTACCCTCTTCGGAAGCTCTCTCAGCGTGGACTTTCTGCTCAGTCCACGCACGCGTCCCCGGAGCCCCTTCCCATCGCAGAAGCGTGTATGTCCACCACCCCCTATAGTATGTCTCGCTCTGCGCGTGCGCGAGCGTTCCAGCCCCTCCCCGCTCTAATTCCCCAGCTTCTCATTGTGAGACATTTCTACAGGGGGCGCTATTACAAGCAGTCTCTCGTGTTCGTCTGTCTTCCTAGATCGTCGACGGCGGCCGATTAGCTACGGCACCCAGCGCATGCGCCCCGAAGGGTGAGAGGTCAGCAAGATGGCGGCGGCCTCCTCAGGGGATGAGGTGCCGGACAACGAGGACTATTACTCGCTGCTGAATGTGCGGCGGGAGGTGAGGTTTGGGAGATAGAGCTCTTCCCTTGGTGGCCTCTCAGCGGAAGGGCCGCGTTTGAGGCCCGGGATTGGACGCAGCGGTTGGGGGGCGGAAGGGTCATGATGGTGCTTCATTGAGCCGCGTGTGATGATGCTGTCATGAGGCCGCCATGTAGTCCAAGGAGGGCTGCGGCCTCGGTCACTGTAAGGCACCGCCCTGCTGGATGGGGCGCCTCTTTTTGTCCCCCCCCCCTTGCTGGGCTTGCCAGCGATGAGTAGCTGCCCTTGAGGAGCGTGTCTGGGCGGGGGCTGTCTGTGCTGTTTATAGAAGCTCTTCTTCGTTGCTTCTGTTGACTGGAGACGGTCGTCTCCTTTGTCTAGTTCTGCGCTTCCCCCCTTCCAAGAACATGTAACTTTTAATGTCCTTTCACTGCAGAAACAGTCCTTTTGGAAGCTCTTTGAATTTTCTGACCCTAGTTGTTCCCCTCCCTCCCACGCACTGGTTGCATAAGCTATACAAGGAGGTAGCCCCCCAGTTGCTGAAAGGATCATACAGAGATTGAAAATGGGTGAATTCGATGCTGGAGGGTGTACATGGAGTGTTGTGCATCATTCATCCAAAACTTGGCTGCTCTTGATGCCCAGGCAGTGCTGTCATTAGTTTTGCTGGGCTCATGATGGGGATAATTGGGATGTTGCTTCAGCAGTATGGAGAACATGGAAAGTAGCAAGCTTTCTGAAGCTTGGTGTATGTGACAGGGATTTGCCTGATGTTCTTCCATATGAGGAAGAGCATGGGGGAAATGGTCTCAGCGAGCTGTTATACTTCTGTTACTTAGCTGCAGATAAATTAGCAAGGCAGCAAGAGGAGTCTCTGCTTTGCAAGCCCACCTAGGGCTTAAGGGAAGGTTCCAAAGATAGGTTGTTCTTTTCTGACGTGGAAGAAGAGAAGCATCTTAGTCACCTTCTCCTGTTTTGGCTGAAGGTTGAAGAGAAGAAAGCTGCTTTTTAAAAAGATGACTTGTTAATGGCCATCAGGCAGGTAGTATCTATTTGTTTTACCCTATTTTTAAGGGGATTGCCCCCACTGGGCAAACTGGCATTTTTTTCTTTGTACCTAGGTATGACGTTTTATACTCCAAAATCTCTGTTTTGGTGCTATAGTGGTTAACATGCCTCCCCCAACATGCTATTGGTGGATGATTAATACCCAGATTTTTATTGAGATTGGTCCCCAAAGTGGCTTGAAATCATCACAACAATCTTAATAAGAATATTAATAATGATGTCTTATAAAAACAAATGGAAATAAAAACTTATCTTAGCCCACCCATAATAGCAGAGCATTAAGAACAGTAGCTATAAAAATGCGCAGCTAAAAATGGTAAAAGACAAGAAGAAGTGGAAAATGGAAGACATGGAAAACAACAAAGGAAGGCTGCAGTCACACGGAGCATTAGCCACGCTACAGAGACGGAAGATAGGCGGATTTTCCGGGCGTGATCACACCGCCACATCTGGGAAGCGTAGAGCTCCCATGGCTCACCCGAGGCTTCCCGCTGAAGATGCAGTTTAAAAAACTAGTACCTCCGAGGTACTAGTTTCCGGAAACCGCGGGGAAGGGCGGGCGTCTGATCGCGTTTTTGGTGGTAGTTAGTGGCATCAGGCGCCCACCCATGTCCCGTCAAGGTTTTCCCCCCCCCAAGTCTCCAGGATGCACAAAAGCACCCAACGGCGCATGCGCACAAGGAGGAAGTGCCGTTGGCCACAGAAGGAGGTGGAGGGGGGGAGCAGCCGTCGTGGCGGACCGGGGCGCCGTGCGGAGGGGGTGGCGAGGCCAAGTTCTCCGCTGTTGGGGGGTGGGGGGGTGTCGTTCCTGGCCATCAGCGTCACCTCCCGGTTTTGACAGCGGTGGAGGAAGAGGAGAACGCGTGTGGGTGGCTCCGCGAAGTGCCTTTCTAGACCTCTGGAGCGGAGCCGGGAGGATCTCCTGGACCACCCCGGGGGAGGGGGTGTCTGTCCCGTCGGCTTCCTCAGCCTGGCCTCCAGTGCCGGCGGCCCGCGGGACCCGGTGCCCTTCCGCAGGGCCTGTCAGGGCCGCGATGTCCCGCCGGCCATTCAGTAGTCCTGCTGCTGCCTAGCCGTCTGATCGGCACCTCCCCCCTAACCACGGGACCTCCATGGGACGTCTGATCGCGCAACCGCGCATTATTTTGCCCCGGGGCAAACAGCCACGTGTCCCCCCCGCATTTTCCAGCCCGTGTGACCGGGGCCTAAAATAGGTTAGGAAACACTGGAAAAGGGTAAATGGAGCAACAAAATACACAGCTAATACATACTCAACAGATAAAACTTTTCATATCTATAAAAGTATTGATTGTCCTGCTAATCATAAGTGATTTTTTCCTTTAGCAAATAGGTCCAATATCTCTCTAATGCATATGTCTACCACATAGGAAACATAGAACTCCCAAATCTCATCTGTATATAATTATATAAATAACTTTTAAGAACTGTTCAATTGTTGAAAGTTCATCTGTCCATTATGGGCTGAAGTCTTCAACAGAATTTCATGAAACTATGAATGATCTGTAGATGTAAGAGAGAATCTCATATAACTCAGAGTTAACTGCTTCCATTCCTCATGTCCAAAATCTGATCTACTTTGCAATATGATTTCAGGTCATTTGACAGTTCTTTTGGGTGGAATAGAAAATAGAAGGATGGAAAGTATGAGAATGAGGCAAACAGACACCAGTGACTTAAGGACTTTTCTTTACTGCCAGGTCTAGCAGTACTTTGCGAGGTTTCCTTGAACAGGAAAAAGTTGATTCACTACTTTCTCCTTTCAGCAGTTTTTCTCTTTGTGCTGTATGCTTATTCAGTCAAATGGTTTGTGTCCCTGATGTTCAACAGGAGAGCCTTTTGTACCAGCTTCAGGTTATATTGCCTAGTACAAGGCAAAGCACATGAAATTGATTGTTCAGATCCCCTTCAATCTGGATTCTGACAGAAACTACTTGGATCATCCTGATTGGTAATTTATGCAGGTCTGCTGTGCCCCTGTGGTGTTCAGTACCGTTAACTACAGTACCCGTCTGGATTGCCTTGCATCAGTGGGCCTGGTTGGCATACTCTTCTGCTGGCATTACACTTTTTGGAGGGCAAAATCCAAAAGTTGTTGCTGGGGGACTTCTGTTGTAGTCGTTGCCTTATAGGTACTGTAAGCAGAGGTCATTTCGGGGGGGGGGATCGCGGGGGAATGCAGTTCCCCCGGGGGAGGTGCAGGGGGGCAGGGCACATGACAAAGCCCTGCCCCCTGCTTCCGGCCGCCCCGCTTCCAGCCCTCATTCAGCCAGGAGGAGGCAGGAGAAGAGGGAGGGTAAGTTGCTTCCTCCCCGCCTCTCCCCACCCCTGCCTGCCTGGGGCCAGGGAGGGCCTTGGCGGGGCTTCCTCGCACTCCCGCTGGCCTTGCAGGTCCACTGCTGGGCCCCTGATGTCAGGGGGTGTGGCATATGCTAATGAGTTATGCTAATGAGTTCCCCTAGCTCTTTTTCTACGAAATGACCCCTGAATTACATTCCCTCTGAAAGAGCAGGTGTGCAGGTTGGAGGTGTTCATGGGTCCCTCACTGTAGGGACAGGTAGTATTTTTCCAGCTCAGACTGGTATACCAGCAACAGCCATTTCTTCAAAATGTTGACCTGGCCACCATCACATATGACTTAGTAATGTCCTCCTGGTTGGACCGTTGTAATGCATTCCATGTGGCACTGCTCTTGAAGACAATATGGAAACTTCAGCTGGTGCAAAGCTAGAGTCCTGACTGGGACTTGATTCAAGTGAGCATATCAGACCAGTGCTTTGCTTTGCCATCTACAATAGCTCCCAGTTTGTTTCTTGGCTTAATTAAAGTTGGTTTTTTTAACATTTAAAACTCTAAATGGCTTGCCCTCCCTGCCAGATCTAAAGGACTGCCTCCTCCCATATTAGCCTGCCAAACTTTAAGATTGATTAATGGTGCCTTCCTGCAGGATCATTCCCTTTCTGGTTAGGTTGAGTGGGGGAACTGGAGCACAGAGCTTTTATCATCTGACCCCAGGTTATGGAATTCCTTCCCCCAAGAGGAGAGATTAGCAACATCAAGTCAGGTCTTCCAGAGTGGATTGAAAATGTGTTTGTTCTGAACGGTCTTTGAGGATATTTTAAAAGATGACTGGTATTTATCTCCCAGATTGTACAACTGGGTTTTACTATTTCCCTGTTTTGCCATTGCTTCTTCTATTTTGGATTTTTGCTGTTATGTTTTAATTTGGTGGCAGCTTTTACTGTGTCTGGCTCTTGATATGCTGCTTCCTTTTTATTGATATGTTTATTACTGCTTATGAAATTTCAGTTTGGATGGTTGGGGTGAAGACTGATATTGTGTGATATTTATTATAGTGAGGTTTTAGTCTTTTATAAACTGCTCTGAGCACCGTTACAAGAGCAGAAGCTCTAATAATCTAAGTAATAAATTCAGGGTGAATCCAGACAAAACAGAAATTATTCAGGAAGGTGACATAGATGTCCAATTGAAAGGGCAATGTCTGTTTTAGATGGGATCACACTCTCCTTGAGAGATTAGCTTGTGCTCGATCCTGCATCGTCTGCAGCCATTTTGGCACTGGTTGTCTGCTTTTGGGAAGCAGGTTGTTTTTCTGGCTCCAAAATTTGAGAAAGATCACAGTAAAGCCTAAATGGCTACTGTGTGAGTAGGAACATTCAGCGTCTCCCAAGCACATGGCAGCCATTTTCCTTAACCTTGTTTTGACAGCAGTAATTTCTTCCCCCTGCTTCTGTAGACTTAACAAAAATCAGCATTAAAATATAATTATTGTATATATTTATTTATTGAGATTTCTATCCCGCCCTACCCTGCAAGTGGGCTCAGTGGTTTACAGCATGTCATAAAGCCAGTAAAACTATCTCATTAAACATCAGTACAATTAAAATTAAAACATCAATTCATAGAAAATAA